CAGCCTGAGCCGAGGTGGCACAGTGGTTAGAGTGCAGTACTGCAGCTACTTCAGATGACTGCTAGTTCAGCAGATCAGCGGATCAAATCTCACCGGCTCAAGGTTGACTCAGCCTTCCATCATTCCGAGGTGGGTAAAATGAGGACCCAGATTGTTAGGGGGCAATATGCTATTTAGTATACTGTCTTTGGTGTAAGCCGCCCAGAGTCCTCGGAGAATGGGCGGCATAGAAATATGACTAATAAAATAAAATAATAAAATTTATTTGAAATTGTTTCGAAATCATTTCTTTAGTTGCTGTAGTCTGGCATTCATTATCTAGGACCGTGATGGCGAACTTATGGCACGCGGAGCCATATTAGTGGGCACGCCAGCTCAGCTCTGGGGCGCATGCGCGCGCCAGCCAGCTGATTTTCGGCCTTCTGGGCCCACCAGAAGTAGGGAAACAGGCTGTTTCCTGCCTCTGGAGGGCCTGGGGGTGGGGGGTGGGGGGGAAGGCCGTTTTTCTTTCTTACCTGGCTCTAGATCCTCTCTGTGTATCTGGGAACGGCGAAAACAGCCTTTCCCACTCCCTTGGAGGCCATACGGAGGCTGAAAGGGCCCATTTCCCCACTCCCGGTGGGACAGGAAGTGACATTTTTTCCTGTCCCCAGCCTCCAGAGACTCCTAGAGAGGCTCCTAGAGACTCCTAGAGAGGTTCTGGAGGCTGGGGACAGCAAAAAATGTCACTTCCTGTCCCACCGGGAGTTGGGAAATGGGCCCTTTCAGCCTCCGTAGGGCCTCCAAGGGAATGGGAAAGGCTGTTTTCGCCATTCCCAGATACACAGAGAGGATCTGGAACCAGGTAAGAAAGAAAAACGGGCCTTCCCCAACCCCACCCCCAGGCCCTCCAGAGGCAGGAAACAGCCTGTTTCCCTACTTCTGGTGGGCCCAGAAGGCCCGAAAATCAGCTGGCTGAAAGAAAAACGGGCCTACCAGGCCATCCTGTGCCAGGAGCAGGGGGGAGGGGGTTGCACACACATACACGTGGGCACGTGCGCCCGCGACCCTCCCCCGCCCCCCCCTCTCCTGGCACGTGATGGCAAAAAGGTTAGCCATCACTGATCTAGGAGAATGGATGATTCTTTTCCATCTCTATATTTAAGAATAGCATTAATCTGTTCCCCATTTTTGTTTGGTGTCTTCTACTGCAAAATATAGCTGCCACTTTAATGTAGCTCTCCTGTAAGAAGCTAACATAAATAATCCTCTCTCCTTTCTGAAGATATATTTTGGCCACATTCCAGAGCTACAAAAAGGTGAAGATATTGATGCAGACTAAAGTACCTATACTAAGAGTTTGATAATTTTCCCAGCTCTTTTCTCCAATTCCAGTTATCAAATAATCTGCAGTAATACAAATTACTGCAGATTATTCCACTTCATATGATCTTTGTGACTCTCCTCATTACATGACAATAGCTTAATATTGTAGCAAAACGCCTTTCTACTCAATGGTCCCTTCCACTCATTTTTAGGTAGAGCTCTGGGGTTTGCCTCATAGTCCTACCCCCGTGGCTGCATTTTGCTCATTTGCTTGAAAGGGCTCCCCTCGCAGGCTTCCAAGCTGGCACATGGACCACTGCTGAGAGGTGAACAAAATGCAGTAACCAACACAGCTGAGAAATGGTTTTGCCCAGCATTAATCTTTTGTTTCCTTTGCATCTATTTTCCCAGAAGTGGACTGCTCTTTTCCTAACAAGGGTAAACAAAGTTGATGGTAATCATGCAATCTAGTGCCAGGAAATAAATATGAATATAGCATTCTTCTCCAACCCACATACTCTTAGTCTTAGTAACTCTATTGTGTTAAATCAATCTCCGTTTTATTAGGAGCCATGGTGGCAGAGTGATTAGAGTGCAGTACTGCAGGCTACTTCTGCTGACTACTGGCTGCCTGCAATTTGGCAGTTCAAATCTCACCAGGCTCAAGGTTGACTCAGCCTTCCATCCTTTCGAGGTGTGTAAAATGAGGACCCAAATTGTTGGGGGCAATATGCTGACTCTGTAAACCACTTAGAGAGGGCTATAAAGCACTGTAAAGCGGTATATAAGTCTAAGTGCTATTGCTATTAATAATTTGTTTAAATCACTTTAAGAAAGGAATAAAAAGAAGAAAAGATGGAAAAAGACACAGATAATGAAGGACACATTATCAATAAAGATATGCAATTATCATAAAATTTAATATTATTTCATTGATTAAATAATGTATAGAACCAGGTTCATTATATAATTTTAACAAATAACCAAAAGTGTCTACAAAAGTCAAAATATTAATATTGATAATACTACTTTCCATTGTTCTAAAACTAAATGCCCATAATCATAGAAAAGGAAAGAGAGAGATGGAAAAGAATAATTACAATTTTTAAAAGGAAAAATGAACAAAAACAATATCCCCATTATACCTGGCTGGTGATTGTATCAAAATATTTATAGATATTGAAATTGCTTCTATCTTATTATAGACCAACTTTCCCCAACCTGGTGCCTCCAAGAGCTGATATTGAGAAGTATAGTCCCATGCATCTAGGGGACAATACATTGTAAATGCTGCTTCAGAAACCATTAGAAAAATGGGAATATGTTTTATCTGTAATGTTGTAGTTTGATGACACAATCCCCTTCTTAGTCAAAATTAGCTATATGCATCTGCCCAATTATTTGTTTCCTGGGCATCTGAGTTCTAAGTAACCCTATTCTTAATAACAGTCCCTTTTATCTGGCAATCTTTTTTGATATCTGCCAGCCAGTTTGGATGAATGAAACTATTTAGGTAATGAGATTCTTTTGCGTCCCAATAAAAATGGAAATAGTTCAAAACCATTTATTTCCTTTGGAAGCATGAGAATAGACCCATTTAAAAAGCATAAATACAAACAAAGGAAAACATTGATAACCAGACAATAAAAGATCACAAATGATAATGGTTTTGAGAAATGTTAATATTAACTCTGAAATCTAAGACTGTGAACAATGAGGAGAAAATGAATAGAAAGCTATACAGTAGTGGAGTTCTGAAAAAGAGGAAAAGTCATTTTCAGAAAAAAATAAACACTATATTATGAGCATTTATGTTAAAATGATAAATGTTATCATCCAGGTCAGAATGGTTTTTATATAGTGGATACTGTACAGCAGGGCTGTCAAACTCGCGGCCCGCGCACCAGATGCGTCACATGCTGGCCATGGCCACGCCTGGTTTAGCGAAGGAGAAAAAAGTCCCAATACGTCACGTGACATGCTGTGACAATGCGAGTTTGACACCCCTGCTGTAGAGAAACAAATGACTACCATGACTGAGAAAAGAAACTGGAGAATCAACATAGCTCCTGCATGGAAATGATACCAAAAGGACACATATCCTTCTCAAAGACTGCAAAATGTGCTAAAATGTATAAAGTTCAAACATCAGGTTAAAATCCCAAGATTCAGTCACCTTATTAATTCCTCTTGAGCAATCAAATGGCAGCTTTTTAGACAACTTTGGAATCAACACACAAGCAACACCTATTTTAATAGCATAATAGAATACCAGAGTTGGAAGGGACCTTGGACGTTTAATCCAACCTCCTGCTCAAGCAGGAGATCCTATGCCATTTCAGACACATGGCTGCCCAATCTCTTCATAAAAAAACCTCCAGTGATGGAGCACCCACAACTTCTGAGGGCAATCTGTTCCACTGATTTATTGTTCTCACTGTCAGGAAATTTCTCCCTTAGTTCTAGCTTGTTTCTTTCCTTGATTAGTCTCCAACCATTGCTTCTTAAGAGAATTTACTGTCAGTACAGACCACTTCATTCCCTTTTGGTAATCTTGCAAGATTAGATATTCCAGATGTACTCCTTTTACCAAATATCATTTAATAATGTCCATTAACACTATAACAAAATAAGTAAAACTCATAGGAATTCCTTCCTTCCAAGTATCTCCTCTTTTAGTCCTATGGATCTAAGTTAAACAAACAGCAACATACAAATATATCAAAACTCTTCATTAGGAATGAGACAACAAAATCCCATTGGCAAATATGAAACTTCACAGTAAAGCTCATTTGGATGTCAAAAACAAAACAAAACAAAATCATAAAAACAAATCAAGATTACATCAAGCTGTAGGAATACATTTATGCATACATGTGTGATGGGGAAGGGAGAGACGTGATCATATTCATATGTACGCATTCTCAATTTTTAGCCCGTTCCTGAAAAAGTGACTTCAGCAATATAGATATTCTCTGAGTAGTCAGTCCAAATATAACATGCTTAAATTGGATTTTAATTTAAATCTCATGAATTTTAGTTCTGTTGGAATACATGGGCTTGTATAGCCAGTTTCTATGCATATTCACTCAAAGATAAGGCCCATATATACAGAAAATGTAGCTTTAATAACTATTTATAGGATTTATTTGTAACCTATTATTTATCTGGATAGCTTGCACTTACTATTTGTAAAAAGGCCAGACCTAAATGATAAGCAAATTAAGATGGCATTATGTTGAAATAAACATGCTCAGCTGTCACTTTTAAAGCCTTCATTTGTCTATTTAATTTGGTATAAATTTTCTTTCCAACGCTTTGGTTCTAAAATTCATATTCAGAATGAGTAGGGATCTCTGAAGGAGAGATCCAAAACAACAGTGACATTTTGGAGAATGCAATGCTAACATAAATAATCAGCTACATGTAACAATAGTAGTAACAGCAGATGGAGATAGAGTGCCAGTTAAATAGTGAATAAAACAAAATTCTACCAGAAGTAAAACATCTTTCTGAATTTCTATTTTAGAACAGCTAAGAGTTTTTTTGAGTAAAATGCAAAATGTCACTTCCCAGAGGAAAACATAATCTTAGCAATTGCAATACAAGATGGAATAACAAATCTAGAAAAGCCACAGTAACAAGTCTGCAAGGGAATAGGGGGTGGGGGGGCAGTTTTAAGAAAACATTCCTACCTCCATCACCTGATCCAGAGCCTGCATCTGTAAGGAAAAAAAGAGGAAATAAAATACATCTGCATTAAGAACAGCTTGTATGTTTGCAAAGCCAGATTCCACTTCATTAAAAGTCTGCTAGCAAATTATTCTGATGTCATTCCTCTGCAAATTGATATACATTGTACTCTGTGTATTTTGATTTATCCATACTCTTTTTGATGCTGATATGTGCTTATCAAGTGCCTTAAAGATGCTACTACTATTGCTGCTCTTAATTCGGTTGCACAACCCAGTGATTACCAAGTTACATTAAGCATGAGCATTACATTTTCTTCTTGATGATGTTTGATAAATATGTTGTATTTTAAATATATCAATTTTTCAAAACAATCAAAAGAAGGTCTCATGAGTTGTAAGGCCATCCATCCGTGATCTTTGACGCACTGACCAGAGTTCTGCATCCCCATAATACCAGCTCAGGTCTGTGATAGGCAGTGGTCAATAGAAAAGATGATCAGATGAAATGCTAGTTTTGTCCACATCATCAAGGTGCAAATTGGGTATTATCCTCCAAACCTGCATAAGACAGAACATTGCAACCTGTTCTGCTCTATGGCTTGGTCTGAAGATGGAGACAATACCAGGACTCCATGAAACATTGAACTGGCCTGCTGGAAAACCTTGTCCTAACAGCAAAAGGGCATTGGAGCATTGGAACCACTACCTCAGAATTGATGGAAAGTTTTCATTGCAGAAGATTTGAGAGGGGGCTATAATTCTCCCGAGGACCACATGAGATCCAAGGCCACTATTTTCCCACACCTAATCTAGACCAGTGTTTTTCAAACTTGGCAACTTTAAGATGTGTGGAACATGTTGGCTGGGAATTCTGAGAGTAGAAGTCCACATATCTTAAGATTGCTAACTCTTAAAAACGCAGTCCTACAACACACAGTCCTTTCAACAGTTCCAAGAAGGCTCCACACCCATTTGTACTACTCAGGTGAACCTGATGACATAGATAAACCTCCAGGTGGTCTCAAGGACTCTCTAAAACAGTGGTTCTCAACCTGTGGGTCGGGACCCCTTTGGGGGTCGAACGACCCTTTCACAGGGGTCGCCTAAGACCATTGGAAAACATATATTTTCAATGGTTTCAGGAATAATTTTATGGTTGGGGGTCACCACAACATGAGGAACTGTATTAAAGGGTCACAGCATTAGGAAGGTTGAGAACCACTGCTCTAAAAGAATGCAAATGGACCAGCTGCCTGCAAGGATTATAAATCCTTCCATTCCCCACCATCCAGCCAGAGCTGAAGAAGCTTCTTTGATGAGAAGTGAACATCTTCAAGAAAAACCAGAAAGTCCAGTTGCCTCTTGAAAAAGCATCTTTGGGACAATTATGACCTGGATGACTGAGAATCTCCATAGTCACTGATCTACACACACTAATCCAAGAGCTAAACTGGGAAGAATGACAGCTTTAGCAAGCAGACCTCAAATGCAACAATAAAGGAATTAATTTACTAGGGACAGTATCAGAAAGCGAGGAGCGATCCCAACAAATTGGAACTGTTACAGCATATAACAGAGACTTCAAGCATATGACAATTACAGGTAGCCCTTGGTGAATAACAGTAATTAGACCAGCAACTGCATCACCAAGTGACAAGCATAACATCACATAACTGCACTGACTTGGTATGGCAGTTCTGGCAGTTCCAGCTGTGGTCATTAGGTGGAAACCACATGGTTGTTAGGTACTATGTTACATAAACTCAATTTCCCACCTCTGTTAGTTTCCCCATTGACTTTGCTTCTCAGAAACTGGCAGTGAAGTTTGAAAATTGTGATCACATGACCTTGGGGCACTGTGACCTTGAAAATTGTGTTCCAGTAATCAAGTGCCTGACCATGGGATGCTGCAATAGCCACAACTTTGACACAACTTTGACATTGGCATAAAACTCCTTGTTCAGTGCCATCATAACTTCACACAGTCGCTAAACAAATGGTCATTAATCTAGGACTACTTGCATATGCCTAGATAACTAGTTAAGAAAAACTCTTAGTTAAAAAGTCCCGTAATTAAATTTCAAATGCACATTCAACATCTGAGGAGCATGAAAAAGACAGTTTTAAAAGAAATTTTGAATTTTAGTCAGTTTTTATTAATGAATCTAAAAAGAAGGCAAACAACAAAGATCAGTGCCTTGCTTTAGGAGAAATTCTTGTCAGAAATGCTTTTCAGTGTTGCAGATGATTAGGAAGGTAAAGGAATGCTGGGAATCAATATCCCAAATTATTTATAGTCAGATCCAGTTAATTCAGGGCAGGCTGTGATCTTCCTCTGTCATTCTAATTGGTTTTTTTTTTTTAAATGTCCATTTTAAAATGAAACTGCTTCTCAAATCATAGCTATGTTTTGGCAAACACAACAAAGCATTCATCACGTATCTAGCAAAAAAAAAAAAAAGACAGAGCAAGCCAGCAAATGATTTTATACATTTTTTTTAAATGCGCTGTGTTTGTTTTCCAGAGAAGGACTATTTTACCACATTACTGCCATTTGCAATGAAACATCCCTTGCAGCTGTAGCCTGCCCTCTGTGATTCCAAATGAGATTATCATCCTTCTTATGTGCAGATCCTTCTGAATGGGAAGTCTATGAAATACCTGCTTAATCATTAATTTTATCTCGCAAGGGAAGCAAGATTTCATATTTTTTAGCCCCTCTCTCCTACTTGCCTCCTGAACTAGCCTTCGTATACCCCAACCTCATCTGGAAGAAACATAGATTACTGTTTCTGCAACTTGATCCGCAAGAGAAAGCCTTTGTCTCATTCCCTGCTGACCACAGAGGCAGTTTACATTCATCTTGAGCTGTTCTGATATTAAAGCGGCATTTTCTCTTTTCTCCCAATACAAACTGAACAGTCTGCCATGCCTCATTTATGTAGATTTAGTCAAGATCTGGGTTTGATCCAACTCTCATTCACCCATTGAAGTTGCTGAGTTTCCCCCCTTCCCCCTCCTTTTCCTTTTCCTCTTCCCCGACATTGTATTCCAGGGCCATTCTGCTTCTAGCAGTGGGAGAATCCAGTTCTTTCAAACAGAGTGTTCCCCTCAGTACAGTGGTGAAATTGATTTTTTTTTACTACTGGTTCTGTGGGCGTGGCTTGGTGGGCGTGGTGTGGCTTGATGGGCATGGCAGGGGAAGGATACTGCAAAATCCCCATTGCCACCCCATTCCAGAGGAAGGATACTGCAAAATCCCCATTCCCTCCCCACTTCTGGGGGAAAGATATTGCAAAATCTCCATTCCCACCCCACTCGGGGGCCAGCCAGAGGTGGTATTTGCCGGTTCTCCGAACTGCTCAAAATTTCCGCTACCGGTTCTCCAGAACCTGTCAGAACCTGCTGGATTTCACCCCTGCCTCAGTACCAAAACATAGTCGCTCCCCAGTTCCCCTGCCAGATCCAGCAGAAAATCCCCAATCTGCTTAGATGGTTGGCAAGATAAGGGAGAGAATGGTTCCTAAACTGAAGTTCTCGCTACAGGATTGGAGAACTGCTGTTAAAGAATCTGTGTTTGCTCCCATTTGCTCCCCTTGCAAACTTTCCGAGCAATGATCTGAAGCACTTGGTTGTGCATCAAATTTTTTTAAAGGGGGTCTTCAGCATCCCTGCTACTTCCCACCCCGTGGATCAGCTCTCTTAGGAAAAGGTTTTTACAGATAGCTAGACCCGGGGATGTCAAAAAAACTACCTCCTTCCATAGGAAGAATGATAGGTAATTGTTGCACATTTGAATGGACTTGAAGAAGACTCCAGTGCTTCTCACACATTTTAACATAATACATTGTAATGTATTATGGCATCCTAGTGGGCATGTGGCCCACATTCTGAGGCAAAATAAGCTATTCCTATAATAAACACCATGCTGTTGCTCAAGACATAAGACCCTTTTTACTTCTTTAAGCCTATGATTTACTTTACTCACATACTGGTTGGCAATTCCCTCCACTTTTCTGTGAGATCTTCCCTCTGTTGAGAATATGAAAGAGAATAATCTAGTCCAAAGGCCAAAAGCATTCTGGCCATTTGGGAGATTTCCAAGACTTTTTCGTTTTTAGCTTAGCAGGGTCAAACATTTGGATGAGGAACTGGTAAGAAATCTCAGGGTTGTAGAAAAGACACATGGAGGGAGGTGGAAAACCTAAAAGATAACTTGGCACATCATTTCCACCAGGGGATATTCCTCTTTCTGTTATTGTGATTTGCAATAACATGGTTTCAAAGATTAGACCCACTTCCAGATTTCACTATAAAGAGTGAGGACAATGCCTTAAAGAAACAAAATATATGATTATAGGCACCCTGAGTAGATGATCTCCCATTAATTCAATCACATGAAAAGGAGAACATTGGGTCTCCCATTAGCACTAAACAGACACCTGTAACTTAGGAAAAGAATCTAAAATTCATACTTAGTCTTTTCTTCTTAACCTTCCAAATGCTAGATTTACATTATCGACATTCAACTGCAAACCATCAAAGGGCAAAGTCTTTATTCTATTTGACACTTCCAAATTATCTGGTAGGAGAAGCTCAACTATCCAATCCAAATCCAAATCCATCTGCCTTGCTCCCTTGTGACACTGTCTCTGAATTCCCTCCTATCTCTATGATTTTCAGAGGCTAAAAACATATCCTCAAATAACGACTGCTGGCCCCAAAGCAGTCCCCTATCCTCCTCTGGTTGGACAAATCCATTTCTGCTCCAATCATTAGTTCTCTTCCTTCCTACAAAAGCCATAGAGCCATTTCTGGTTACCAGCCTCGGGTCTAGAATGCCATGACAAGAAATCAGAATGAACTTTCCATACAATAATGGCATTAACTCACCAACTATGGCTTTAAAATATTTTAGTTTTATTATCTATGCTGATCTCACTCTAATTTAACCACCTCAGAGCTAGTTTAACATCTAAAAACTGCCACAAACAAACCAAAGTTGAGTAGATCAGCCCTTCTTGAACCTATTCCTCCACTAGGAGAGGCAGCTTCTGCATTAATAAATACTGTTTAGATGGATTTATACATCATACTAAGACATAATATGGTTTCTTTGATATTGTAAATTGTAAGGGTGTTGCACCATGATTAATGTATGATTGTGCTGCATGAACATAAACAGTTGTGGCTTACTCAATAAATAAATCACTGCTTAATGTAGACCTTTAGGTGGCAAAATATCTTACACAAATTTGTCCACAATCAGATCTACTCCCCCATTTTTTTTTTTTAATATTGAGCAAACAAACATTTTGGGAAACCTGGTTGGTTTCCACCATCTTTAATTGTGCACATTGGGCAAAACACTGCAGAATAAATAAAATGAATACTTGAACAAACGGCAACTGTTTCCCAGGTAAGGAAAGAGGATGCCAAAGCAAGCAGAACTGATTGGGCTGCAGCATGAAAGGCACGCTTTCAATTATTGATCTAGGATGAATCTGACAGGAGCACAAAGGAGTACTCATGAAAATACACAGTACTGGTTGGGCTCGCTTGTCAACGGATTCCTGCATAACAATAAGTAGCACAAAGCCTGCTGTACCTACCGGTGGCACACGATCCTTCTGACGCCACAAGTATTTCACTTTGCTGCTTGCAGGCAGCTTGTCTCAGATAGCATTCATTCTGATAGGTATCGCCATTGGAACCACACACAGGCACATAGTCGCTGTTACACTAATGAGCAAAAGAGAAAACAAGAGACAGTGCAGTTAGTAAAGATGTGCACAGACGTGAAGCCCATTCTCCTTTACATTTCAGGCCCCTTTCTGCAGATAGTCGCTAAAGAACAAAATTATAAGGTTGCAATTAACATTCACTTTCCTAAACCTTTCCAGATGGGCAGGTTGCCCAGATGGAAGGGACACAGTTCTCTATAATATTTCAAGGGTTCTGCTAGGATTAAGGGGTTCAGGATGAGTTACAACCCAACCACCCTACATTACTGGATTTATCCTTCTCTGTTCTTTCATATTGTCTCCCTTCCCTCAGTGTCTCTGTGCTATTTTAATCTCGTTCCGTTCTTTTTCAATTTCTTCTTCCTTTGGGCAAATAGACTCATTTAAAAATTAAAGGAAACCGAGCAAGGATGCTTATGATATTGTTTGATAAGGGTATAAGAAAAAAAAAAGAGAGCAAGTATTGTAGATAGAGCAGGCAAAAGACTTGCAAAAGCCAGGATTAATCTCTGGAATTTTTTTTTTTTTTAAATACATGTTAATCAATGGGACTGAATGGGAAGATTTCAAACTGTGGTGGTAGGTTCCTGATCTGGCCTTCTAAGTAACGTAGACATAGAAAGATGCTCTTTCTAAGAATCAATTATTAGTGAGACAGGAAAATTAAAATAAAGTATATTAAAACTATTACTACTCCCTATTTAATCAGGTCAAGGCTGTGGACAGAGAAGACCAGATCTAGACTAGTTGATATCGTGCCTGGGGTGTATTTGGAAGCACAAATACCTATGCCTGCCTACTATTTCCTGCCTACTGTGTACACATCAGTACTCTGTCTAATTTCTCCTTGACATAAGGGAGACATAGTGAAAGTTGACAAGATGACCACATTTTATGGTCCCTTTGCAAGCCACTTGAAGAAGCCAAAAGATTAACCACTGTACTAATGATTATGAAGATGATGGAAGAGTAAGCACAATCACTGAATGTTATTCTGCTTCAGAGCTTTTTGAAGAGATATTAAATTGTTGCTTGTCTTGAAGCACTGCAACTGCCACTAATAGGGTATTTCATTAGGCACTTAATTATGTGTCCTGATATCATATATAGCTCCACTGCTTGGTGGCAGTGGTTACAGAGGAATAATTTAGACCACCATTAAGCCAAACTTGCTCTCTCCATTGTAAGGTTCATGTCATCCCCAATCAAGTAAAGTCTGTGGGACAAAATGGCTTTCTCTCTCCTCATTTCATGGCCAAAAACCAACCATTCGTCACAATGGGACACCTTCTTTCATTGCACCCAAGGATTGCTACTTAGCTGAGTGAGTTGGTTGAAAACAGGTTGCTTGGCATACCCTCTTGTGAGGCAAGTGTCAGAACTCTTCTGGTTCTGACACTTGCCTTACAATAGGATTGGCCTGGGTACTTTATCACTACACTGAGGAATTTGAAGATAAATGTGTGTAGGCTCCTCAAAGTCTACCCAGTCACAGTCCTGGGTTTTGCAGATCACAGTGTCATTCTATGGGGGGGTGGGCTTTATTACATATTAACTAAGGGATGTCAAACTCGATTTCATTGAGGGCTACATCAGGGTTGTGTTTCACTTTGGGGGGCCGGGTGGGCATCACCAGAGTGGATGTGGCCAACTCAACATCACTCGTGTCGGGGGCGCCTGTGGTGGCCCAAGTCCTCTGCTAGCAAAAACAGAGCTCGGGAGGGTCGCATGTAGCCCTCCCAAGCTACGTTTTCACTAGCAGAGAGCTGCAGGAGGCTGTCACAGCTGAAAACAGAGGTCAGGAGGGCCCTCTGTTTTCACTGGCAAGAGTCACTGTGGGCCAGTCCTTTGCTGTTTCCAGGGCAGTCCCGTGGGCCAGATCTAAGCACCCTGTGGGCCATATCCAGCCTGCAGGCCTTGAGTTTGACACCCCTGTATTAGCCAATCTGGATGTTCACTCTTAACTTGCCATACCATTAGGAGTTGTGGATGAACAATGGAGCTAAATGTTTTCTCCTTGTGCATATTAAGAAGAAAATTGTTTGCCTCCAGTTACAATTAGCTATTCCTTCTAAAATGGAGAATTGTGGTTTCCTGTTAGCTTATTAAATGGGAACACCAATCTGCTTAGGTAAATTGGCATCAAACTGCGGTACCTCATTAATGTAATAGCTAACTGACCTAACCAGGCAGTAAGATGTAAGGCAGAAGGCAGAGAAACCAATGCTTCTATTGTTTGTTTTTTGTAAATTAAAGAGACAGCATCTAAACAAGCTGCAGAATATTACTGGCCCTGGCCAAACGAAATAAAACAAAGGTAAACCAAAGTTTCAAAGATGAACCTGACAGTCCTAATGACAGAAGGCTGTGCAAGTTCATATACGGTAGATATATCGAGAAGGGTGTTATTGATTGGAAACTACTGCAATGACAACAGAAGTAATACCAACTCAAACTTCATAATAAAAGAGATTTTGTCCCAGCTATTCTTGTATGCAGCACTATTCCTCAGTGCAGCTGATCTGACCCTCTTTTTTCCACTTCATGCAGAGCCAGACATATTAAGTCCAGAGTTATTCATATCATGGCAAAGTCACGTGGGTGAGAACAAGAGAGCACCTGCAGTTAATGATTAATCCACACTCTATCAGCCCACCTGAAAATCCTGCCAGGCATGGGAGGCCATCAGCTTTCTCATCTTCCATCAGAAGAAAAGGGCAGCTTCCCCCACTACCACCCTTGTTCATATTAATAAAAATAATTTGATTTTATGATGAAAATTAGGCAACCTACCGGGTGCAGTTATCACAAGAAAATCATACTCAGTGGCATTAGAGATACTTGGCTGTGCCCTGTACCAGATAATTATGCCAGGGATGTGATTATCTCATGATTACTGTACTCTTGATATGTCTCATTGTTTAATTAGAACAAATGTAATGATCAAATTATTATTATTTACAAATGATAAGCTCTGTTTAAAACTAGTTAAAAATAGGAAGAAGTCACACTGCCAATTAGTTGTTCCACACTTAAATATCTCATGACATGCGAATATACATGATGCAATTGAGATGAGGAAAAATGACAGACCACAGACTGCCTCCAAAGAGGAATGATTATATAGGCAAATAGAAAAATTATCCTAGTTGACATTTCCACAAAGAAGCAAATTCTAGAAAATTATTACTACTTGGGCAATGTGGCATTTCAGTTAGCTAAAAAATGAAACATCTTCCCATATCCCTTACACCACAATGCTTCTGATCTTATTCAATCATACAGACTTGAAATCTAACTTTTACTAATCACCTGTCCAATATTATCTTCTACAAACCAATGAAATCTCTGTGAAGATTCTCTGCTAAATTGGTAATTTCTCAATAACCCTTTCCATTTTGATTTATCTGCTGAAGTAGTCTCATAGCCTCATGGAGATGCAGTGTGATATAATGATTACCTGTAGTCCAAAGCTAACGAGTACTAACTACATCTGGGGTCAAATGCCCCAAATGGAAACACACTAGCTGACCTTTGGCCATTCACTGGCTGAATTCAGTTATAATATGAAATCATAATTGGATCTCATTCGTGTGTGTGTGTGTGCCTGTGTGTGCACGCGCACATGCGCATACACACACACCTTTGAGTCAACCTTGATTCTTAGCTATTGCTTGGACAATTCCATGCAATTTTGTCTATAATAGGTTTGGAAGTCGTTTGCCATTGCTGGCTTCATGCTTAAGGCAGAAGTAGAACTTGGAGTCTTCTATCTTGCAGCATATGCATTATCCAAATTAGCTGTCTTGTTTCCTTTTCACTAAGCATGAGGATTAGTTAGTGTGTCCCATATAACAAGCAATAGTTAAATAAATTACCCTTTAGTGATAGGCAACCAGCAAGCTCTCTGTGCCCATTCAGCATCCATTTATCAGTGACCCCTGATAAAAACCTAGTTAATATTTCTTAAATCTGGTGGCATAATATTATATTTCTTTTGCTTCAAAAATATTCCAAAAAATCTCAGTGAGACCTAGTGCATTTATTCTATATTTAAACCTATCCCTCTCAACTCAACACTAACTCTGGATGTTCAAAGCAGATGGTTCAAGGAAAGAAAGTAGTGGAAACAGCAGAGCACAGCACAGCTAGAGCTAATGAAGAACTGACAAGGGACTTGAAATTTTAATTAATTTATTTTTTTTAAATAAAGCTCAGAAATATGCCTGAGGTGTAGCGGTATGTGGGAAAGACCTTGGGAGATGGGGCAAAGAGCTAGCCCTAGGGAACAGTCAGATAAGAGATGGCGTAGCCTGAAGCTAGATAGTGGGCAGGCCAAGAGGCTCAAAAAAGGGCCTCCCTAGTTTCTTGGGATATAAAGGAGATAGTGGGGGAACTGTACTTTCAAACTTGAAAGATCCTGTTAATGTAGCTTTACAATAAGGTAGAATTATCTTATCTGACTGTGTTTCCTGTCTCTACTTGGTAAGGCTGACATCAATTTTGCAAGTCTTTCCCACATCATTACAGATAGAAATGGATTTACAATACAATCCCAAACATGGAGTACAGGGGTATGAAAGATGATTAAGAATACTGGTTAATAGTATGATTCCAAGGGTACAAAATGAAAGCTTATAGAATTTCTTGTTATTTGAGTAAACAATACTAGAACAAACAGGGATATACATTTAACATTTCTATTCTGATTTTCCTTTACTAATAATGGAACAAATTTAAATTCCAAAAAGTAATTCAAATTTGTTGGATGTTACTACAGGTAGTTCTGGAGTTATGACAATAATTGACCCCAAAATTTATGTTGCTAAGTGAAACATTTTTAAGTGAGTTTTGCCCCATTTTACAAATTTTCTTGCCACAGTTTTTAAGTGAATCCGGATTCCACATTGACTTTACTTGTCAGAAGGTTGCAAAAGCTGATCCCATGACTCCAGAACACTGCAACCATCATAAATAAGAATTTATGTTTCCAAACAT